GGACTGCATTGGGAGTTATACCTGATGTAAATGACGAGTTGATGGGTGCAGCACAGCAACATGGCACAAGTATACATATGCAACAAACCTGCACGTTATGCACATGTACCCTACAACTTAAAGTATAATAATAATAAATAAATTTAAAAAAAACAACAACAACAAATGTAACTGTTTACCTATGGGAAATAGCATTAGCTTGCTTACAATCATATAGCCCAAGTTATTGAAGTAAATCATCAATGATTTTTGTGTGTTGAATTTTGTTTAGAAGCCCCGCATGGTAAGCAAGAATCTCTTCAGGAAGGAAAAGGGAAGAAAGGTGAAACCGCACTCAAAAGAAAAGGTACAGCAGATAAAAATAGATATAATTACATGTAATTCTGCATTTTATAACTATCTCAGTGCAAATAGCTAGATTTGTATAGTAGTATACATTGAACACTTCTCTCAGGCATTTGTAAGTCATAAGCCCTTGTGGAATATAGTCTCAAACTTTCTGCATCCTGGCACTTACCAGAGGCCCTGCTAAGAAAAGTGATGCTTGCCAGGATGATTTAGACAATATCTAATATGCAGAATATCCATTCATCAGAGATATTTTGACTGTTATCCTTGGGCTAAGCTGTGCCATCAGAAAGCTACATACTGAAACAAGTTTTCTTGGACCCCTTATTGAATTTCCTTCACTGATAAGCACTTTGGTAAAAAATAAAATAAAAATCTTACGTTACCTTAGAACATTCACAAAACTAAGAAAATAACCTTGGTACAATACTGTTAAGTAAAGTAGAACATTTAATTTTTATCATCTATTTTTAGTGGAACTCTTGAAGTTTTTGAGACCTGTCTACATTTTTTTTTTTTAATCATTTAAACCAGTAATTTATAAATAATTAAAAATGTGAATTAGGGCTGGGCGCAGTGGCTCATGCCTGTAATCCCATCACTTTGGGAGGCTGAGGTGGGCAGATCCTGAGGTCAGGAGATCGAGACCATCCTGGCCAACATGGTGAAACCCCATCTGTACTAAAAAAATACAAAAATTAGCTGGGCGTGGTGGCGCGCACCTGTAGTCCCAGCTACTCGGGAGGCTGAGGCAGGAGAATCCCTTGAATCTGGGAGACACAGAGGTTGCAGTGAGTCAAGACTGCACCACTGCACTCCAGCCTGGGTGACGGACAGAGACTCCAACTCAAAAAAAAAAAAAAGTGTGTGTATATATATTTATATATATATATTTACATATATAAATATATATATTATATACATGAATTTGAATTAACAAATGTTTACAGCTTGATGTAACTTCTTGGTGTAACTACATACTGGCAAAGGATTTTAATGATTTTACTTTGTTCTAATTCGTATTTCATGCAATGGATTTTAATTCTTATTACTTGTTTGAGTTTCTTCAGAAAATTCTTCAACCATCAAAGAGTAAAGAGAACCTTGCAAATATTTTAGAGAACTTCGAGTTACTTTCCCCACCCTCAACCCCACTCCCTGCTTTTTTAAAGAATCATAAATTCCCTGGAAAATGTATGTCATGCATATACCCTCAATAAGTAAACTTTTAAAAGCCTATTTATGAGGGCTGGTGACACTTTTAGGGTATTTGGACATGTACTCTGTAACATTTTTTTTAACAGTCAGGTACTTTTAAGTTATCTATCTGAGCGTTAACAAGTTATTTTTGTTGATGTTGTTTTATTGAAAATTATTTTGACCTGACATTCGTATTTGGTATTTACTTTGTATTTCTTTTCTCAGTATTACAGTTTCATGGCCTCAGTTCTGAAATGCAAGCTATTAAGTTCAGCTTGTTTTTAGGTTAGGTTGGTTTGTCCTTTGGGTTTATTTTTATGTATGTATGTATGTATGTATGTATGTATGTATGTATTTATTTATTTATTGTCCTTGACTGCTTCCCTACTGCCCAGGTATCTTACAACTTAATCTGGTGGCATTGCATTGCTTGCGTTTTTCAGTTAATTGTAAATGCCTATGGCTTTATCCATGCGACACTGTCTCTAAAATATCAGGCTTGCAAAGTTTTTCTTCTGCATAATGTTTGATTATGAAACAATAATATTTGATTTTAAGTTGTTGTTTCTTGTTTTGAAACAGGGTTTCATTCTGTTGCCCAGGCTGGAGTGCAGTGGTGTGATCATGGCTCATTGCAGCCTTCACCTCCTAGGATCAAGCAATCCTCCCATCCCAGCCTCCTAAGTAGCTGGGACAACAGGCATATGCCACCAAGCCTGGCTAATTTTTATATTTTTTTTTGTAGAGATGGGGTTTCAGCATGTTGCCCAAGCTGGTCTCAAACTCCTGGGCTCAAGCAGTCTCCCTGCCTCAGCCTTCCAAAGTGCTGGGATTACAGGCCTGAGCCATCACACCAGACCAATTTTAAGTTTTTATAGAGTTATTTATTGTAAAGAATTTTGTTAAGAACAGTTTTTCTGAAGACCATGTTTTCACTCAAAACTCATGCATGACTTTCCTTAATTTTCTAATTTAGTAGGCCAACTTTAATGTCCATTGAAATGAAATAAAACTTCCAGTTAAAAAAAAAAAAAAAAAGTCCTCCACAACTTAACATAGCAGTGGGGGTGAAACTTTAATTATACCAATAATAACCTGGTATTATATTTTCTGAAGGAATATTATGCCCACTACATCATTCAGTGGCCCCTGTATGAAATCCTAGGTGATAAATTTTGTTCGGAATCAAGGGACAGGAAAATGTCTCTTCCTCTGGGTGACTAGATAACGGGCACCTCTAAATGAGAGCATTTTCCTTTGTGTTTTGGCTGAGTAGAAGTTCAGAAAAAAACTCATGGCTCAGGTTTAGTATCTATGCAAAGACCTATATCTCCATGTGTGCCTTCTAATTCCTCTCCTGATTTTGAACTTCTACTTTAAGTTATATTTTTCCTGACCCTAGTTTCATTTATGTTCTTTTTTCTATTTTACTTTATTTCTGTGAAATAGGGGGATATAATTTCTAAAGTAATTGATAGTTGGTGAAAGAAAATCCCAGGCTCTAAAATACTTATCAGTTGGATTCATATTGAAGCTGCTGTAGCAACCAATTAACTAAAGATTGAAACGCAGTTATGGATGTATGCAATTTACTTCTTCCAGGTTCATTCAAGTGGCATTGTCATGAAGTATGTGTCTTTTTAAAATTGTTCATCACAAATTGCCAGTGCTGTTGCAGTCCAAGAGTGTGTAATGTTCAAAATATAATGTGCTAAAATAGACGTTTGGACATTTAAATATATATAACCATGATTCTCACAGAGAATCTCACCCTTCTCTAATTATATAATATGATGGGTTTATATAACTAGAGCTAACTGGTGAGTTAACACTGAGATAGAAGTTTTAGTTAAAATTTTAAGGACTATAATTTATGCTCGGCTCTCACTTGTTTACTAATAGTTTTCATATTTTACATTACTCATCCCTTTTTTCTCATCAGAATCAAAAAAGCAAATGAAACATCATTATAGAATCATCGAAAATAGAAATTAAAGACTTGTGTATATTAGGTACCAAAGCATCAAATTAGACATAATTAACACATGCTCTAAGAGCATCCTTAATAAAAGCATACAGACTCCAAACAATTCATAAGCAAACACAAGTTCAACAGCAAAATACATACATTGGAGGCATGTAGCTAGCTCAAATTAACTACAAAGACTTCCAAATATTTTTTGCTTTTATTTTACTATTCTATTGCATTAAATAATATTTGAAATAGGTGAACTCTCAAGATTTAGACATTTTTATGTTACATATAAATAATGTGGTTTTGGACGTCCTTCCTGTGGAAGAAATGATTTTATTTCTTAATATTTCAAATTAATACCATTGCAGGTGAACACCATTAATTGTTCATCTGTTTATTTCACAGGCCATTTGATACCAATTATATTTAAAGTGCCTCTTAGTTGAGGAACCATCTATTTTTTCCTTTCTTCAAACTTATTATTTCCTGCTGTCGATGTCTTTGATTCATTTATATTCTTCTCTGCATAGTAGATCAATCTCTACCCTTCTCCCTCCCAAATCTTGACACTGAGATGCCATTAACAATGGTATTTAGAGTGTTCTTAAAAAATATTTCACCTCCTTTTGAACCCATTTGCCACTGTTCCATTATGTTTCTTCATTAAACAATGGCTTTTCAAACATATAGCCTTACCCAGGAGAGATGTTAATTAGGAGCCAAATGAAGAGTTCTCAATAATCAACTAAATTCAGAAAATGCCAAGTTACATCAAGTTAAAATGTTTTTAATTACAGGATTTTTTTTTTCTATAACAATGTGCATTTCAAAGGGAGCAGGAGACACCATATGTAAGATCCCAGGGCATTCTGGCTGCAGAATTCTTCTCCCTTGGAGGAATATCTGTTGGGATCAGAGTTCTCTGGAACAAACACTTGGAAATAATGCCATCTTTAGTTCCGATGCTTTGCCACATGTATTAGTGTTAGTATTGTTCCAGTGTTTGCCTTCTGATTTGTCTTACAGGGTCAATTATTGTAGGTGCTACCAAGCCACTTAAAATAATAAATTTAGTATCAATGTTATAAGCATTAATGTCATAGGACTTTTCCTTAGTTCACCTAAAGACGGGGTTCTTGTCCATCCCATGGCCATGAAAATTTAGGCTCACAAACGGTTTGAAGGGTGAGTAAAACAGGGTTTTATTGGGTGAAAAGGGAAAAAAAGAGGGAAACAGGGACTCTCGCAAGGTCAGAGTCCCTCCACTGGAGCCCTTCCTGCCTGGCAGTTTGAATCCCTGTTTCCACACAGGAAAAGGAGGGGCCAGGCTCCTCCCCACCACAAATGGTGTGAACTTCCCAAGTCTCCACTTTAGTGGGCAGGCTGATTGGAGTTTCTCCAGGGACCCCCTGCTACCTGGCTGTCTCATTCCCCTCTCTAAAGAAGTACATCTATCTAACTATTTGTTGTTAGATTAAGGATAAGGACAAAGACCGATCTTAACTGCTTCCTGCTGACAAGGGTCGCTGTTTTGGGGAAATGGCAATCAGAGCTCCCTCAGAGGCCTATTTAAAGGTTCCCAGCAGAAGGGGCCATCGTCAGATGCTCCACTTGCTTGACTATTTACAGTTTGATGGCCTGAAAGCAAGAGCAGACAAATGGAGTTATTAGAAAACATGTATCAAAAGGAAACAAGGGGAGGGATAAGGACAGCTCAAAAATTCTGAGGCCTTTTACCAGTTTGCACAGGGAGAGGGAGGGCAAACCCCAGCGGGTTAAAAAAACTCTACTCTTTTGCTGGCATGTCAGGCTTCTAGGTTCCC